CAAACAGGCGCTGGCTGACATTTTTATTTCACTTAATTTATTTTACTTTCATCATTAAATTAATTGAGTTTTCTGGATGCTGTCAAACTATTGGGAAGAATAAGGTACAAATGAAACTGGAGAATTATTTTTAAAAGTCTTTTAGGGGGTCCTGTGCAGTAGGTTAATCCTCCACCCGCGGTGCCGGCATCCCATATGGGCGCCGGGTTCTAGTCCCGGTTGCTCCTCTTCCAGTTCGGCTCTCTGCCGTGGCCCGGGAGGGCAGTGGAGGATGGCCCAAGTGCTTGGGCCCCTGCACCTGCATGGGAGACCAGGAAGAAGCACCTGGCTCCTGGCTTCGGATCAGCATAGTCCCGGCCGTGGTGGCCATTTGGGGAGTGAACAAACCAATGGAAGGAAGACCTTTCTCTCTGTCTCTCTCTCACTGTCTATAACTCTGTCTCTCACTGTCTAACTCTGCCTGGCAAAAAATTAAAAAAAAAAAAAAAGTCTAAATCTAAGGCCTAAATTTGTTTCTTGAGGTACCCAGAAAGTAGAGAATAGGAGTGAGGTTTTCGGTGTGTTTTAGACTGTCTACAAACTTAGATGACCTCAGAATCTGGTTAGAGCTTGTTCACTACTCATGTTCTGTAAAATCTGTTTAAAACAAAATAGTTAGCTCTGTCCTGCCAAGTGTAGACAAGCACCAAAGTAGCAGTGTGAGAATTTTGTATTGTCAGGTGGTTAAATTGTGGATTCATAGCAACTGCCTGTGCAAATTATGTGAAATGGGAGGTTGATGTGATACAGGCTACATGAGGAAGCTTTTTGGGTATCTGAGTTTTGGGTAGTTGGGATTGAGAGTAGAGAAAACTTCTCAGAACTGGAAAACATGAAGTTGAAGATAGAAACCAAGAACCAGTAGGGTTTGAATAGGATCATTCTTTGTTCCTCATCTTTGTGTAAAAATGTCTGGATGTGTTAGTCCATATGGAAACCATTGCTGAGATATGTGAGGTGTTAGCTTTAGAGAAAAAGCTATATATAATCCTTGAGACCAAAAGAAAGTATGAAAGCTGGGAACACTTGTCTATTAGGTTTAGGGAGTTATAGTACCAATCTCTTTAGATCAGAGAGTCCTATTTTAGAGTTGCATAGTTGCTTCATAGAAAAAAAATACCTTCGAATTGTTGATATTCCAGCTGATCGGGAATAGTGAACATGCCTTATGCTGATTTAATTAATCAAGGATAGAAATGCCCAATAGCTTGATTTATGCATCTGCTTATTATTATTTTTTTTCCTTTGGAAAGCAGAGAGATACTGAAATTGTCCACTTACTGATATACTCCCCAAATACATGCAACAACCAGTTCTAGGCCAGGCAGAAGCCAGCAGCCAGGAACTTCATCCGGGTCTCCCACATTGGTGGCAGGTACCCAAATACTTGAACCCTCACATTCTGCCTTCCAGGGTGCGCATTAGCATGAAACTGAAGCTGAAGCTTGTGGGTAAAGCTTGCTCTCCATGTGGGAGGACCCCAGTGGAGTTCTAGGCTCCTGGCTTCAGCCTGGCCCAGCCCTGACTGTTTCGCTATTTGGGAAGTGAACCAGTGATGGCAGTCTCTCCCTCTGTTAATCTGTTACTGTCTTTAAAATAAATAAATAAATAAATCTTTAAGTGCTTTATAAAATAGCCATTGTATGAAAATATAAACTGCCTTTTACATTTCAGATTAGTATTTGGGCTTAGATAGACAGTTGTAGAATTGCTTGTGTTTATTGTACTTTTATGTCTCTGAACCTTTGCTGGAAATCTGTAAAGATAATGGTCTTTTGAGAATTAGTTTATGCTTTTCCCTTTAGTTTGCTAGACTTTTTTGTGTCTTCTCACCTCCTTAGGTCTCTTTATTTGGTGTTCTCATTTTCTTAACCTAAATTACATTTATATTAAAAATCTGTTATAACTCCTAATAGTACTGAACATTTCTATGGGCAAGTTCCTGATAAACTCTAGCTCAAGTTTGCCTCTGCAGTTAGGTAAAAGGAAGAGGAAAGAGAAATGAACAAAATAAAAAGGGAACAAGGGCCAGTGCTGTGGCATAGCAGGTAAAGCCGCTGCCTGCAGTGCTGGCATCCCATATGGGTGTCGGTTTGGGTCCCAGTTGCTCCACTTCTGATCCAGCTCTCTGCTATTGCCTGGGAAGACCGTAGAAGATGGCCCTTGTCCTTGGGCCCCTACACCTGCTTGGGAGACCAGAAGAAACTCCTGGCTCTTGATTCCTGGCTTTGGATCCAGTGCAGCTCTAGCTGTTGTGGCCATCTGGGGAGCGAACCAGCAGATGGAGGATCTCAGTCTTTATCACTCTCTTTCTCTCTCTCTTTCTGCCTCTCTAACTCTGCCTCTCAAATAAATAAATAAATAGTTAAAAAAAAAAAAGGGACCAAAGGAAAATAACACAGTTTAATCATTGTTCATCATTTACTTTTACTTTGTGTGTGTGTGTGTGTTTAAGTTTGAGAGGCAGCATTACAGACAGAGGGAGAGACAGAGCAGTATTCATTCCATCCACTGGTTCACTCCCCAAGTGGCTGCAGTGGCATCGGGGCTGAGCCAATCCGAAGCCAGGAATATGTTTTATTTATTTGAAAGGTAGTATTAGGGGCTGTGGGTGGGGACATAGATCTTCCACCTGCTGTTTTGCCCCCCAAATAGCTGCAATGGCCAGTGCAAAGCCAGGAGCTTCTTCTGGGTCTCCTATCTTGTTCCAGGGCCATCTTCCACTGCTTTCTTAGGTAGGTTATCAGAGAGCTGTATCTGAAGTGGAATGCCTGGGACTCAAACTGCACCCGTGTGGAATGCCAGCACTGCAGATGGGGGCTTTATAAAACACCACCACTCTGGCTCCTTTTTTGTTTTTGTTTTTTAAGATTTATTTGAAAGGCAGAACCATGGTGGTGGTGAAGGGAGAAAGAAAGAGAATGATCTTCCATCCGCTGGTTCACTCCGCAAATGACTGCAATGGCTGGGGCTGGGCCAGGCCAAAGCCAGGAGCAAAGAGCTTCATCTGGGTCTCTCTACCTTGCAGAGACTCAAGAACCTGGGTCTTCTTATGCCTTCCCAGGCACATCAGCAGGGAGCTTTGGCACCCACGTGGGATGCTGTTGTCACAGATGGCGACCTAACCCACTGCACCACAGTGTGGGCCCCATCATGTAATTTTTTGTTTTGTGTTTTGCCCCATTCCTAACCTCCACCAAAAAACCCACCATTGTGAGATTCGTTCCAATAAATATTTCAGTGATAGTGAGCAATGATAAATTCCCATATGGAGAATAAAGAGCAGAAGAAGGAAATGAATGGAAGCTTTGGTAAACAGGTTTAGGTCCAACAAGGACAGACAGATTCTTCCACTGTCACATTGGCATATCTGTTTCTTTTCTTAAGGGATAAGACCTCTGGAAGGTTAAGCATATACTGCGTTCTCCACTTGCCTTTTTCTGCAAAGAACCATGTGAAAATAGATGCCATTTTGTTTGTTGGCAATTAGCTGTTTGGGAAATGGTTCTCAAGCAAACATGCTGTGGCGTAGATGTTTTAAAGTTTATTTATTTGAAAGGCAGGGTTATAGAGAGGCAGAGAGCAAGAGAGAGAAGTCTTCCATCCTCTAGTTCACTCCCCAAATGGCTGCAATGGCTGGAGCTGTGCTGATCCGAAGCCAGGAGCCAGGAGCTTCTTCCAGTGGAGTAGCCAGGTCTCAAACCAGCGCCCATATGGGATGCTGGTGCTTCAGGCCAGGAAGTTATTAACCCACTGTGCCACATCACCGTCTTTTTTTTTTTTTTAATTACATTTAAATATTAGCTAGTTTTCTTTCTAAGTAGAATTTATAATCTAAAGAAGTTTGAAATGAAAATAATAGTGCTTATTATTAAGAAAGTACCCTTTCCAGAATTACAGGCATCAAAATATGAATCATTTACTGCATTGATCCCCAGTCCTTTTTGCGGTGAATGAAATTTGTAGAGACATTTGTTGAGTTTTTGGGGACATGTATATTTATACATAGTAGTATAGCACAGGAAAATGTAAGTGATTTTTTTTTTTTTTTTTAAAGATTTACTTATTGAGGCCGGCGCTGTGACGTGGCGGGTAAAGTTACTGCCTGCAGAGCTGGCATCCCATATGGGTGCTGGTTCAAGTGCTAGCTGCTCCGCTTGCGATCCAGCTCTCTGCTGTGACCTGGGAAAGCAGTGGAAGATGGCCCAAATCCTTGGGCCCCTGCATCCATGTGGGAGACCCGGAGGAAACTCCTGGCTTCGGTTCAGCGCGGCTCTGGCTGTTGCAGCCAGTTGGAGTGAACCGGCAGATGGAAGACCGATCTCTCTTCTCTCTGTCTCTGTGTGTTTGTGTGTGTAACTTGGGCTTTCAAATAAATAAATCTATTAAAAAAAGATTTACTTATTTACTTGAGAGATGTAGCTAGAGACAGAGGTCTTCCATCCGCTGGTTCATTCCCTAAATGGCTGTATCAGCTGAAGCTGTGTCGATCTGGAGCCATTAGTCAGGAGCTTCTTCCAGGTCTCCCACGTGGGTGCAGGGGCTCAAGCACTCGGGCCATCTTCTATTGCTTTCCCAGGCCATATCAGAAGTGGAGCAGCTAGGACTTGAACTGGTGCCTGAGAATGCCGATGCCTCAGACAGATGCTTAACCTGCTACTCCATAGCATTGGCTCCAAAAGTGAATCTTATCAAAAGCAAATACCATCTGTTTGTATTAAAACTTTTTTTTTTTTTTGCGATCTGAAATTAAGTGGAAATGTGACTCGTTTTTTAAAAGGGACAAATAATTACTAATATTACCTTTATTTTGTGTTGGGCAATGTGGTTAATCAATGGGTTCATCTTTTGAGAATAGAGGAAAGCATCTTTGGGTATAAGAATTGTTAAATTTGGTGATATTTAGTGATAATCAGCTTTTCATGATGTTCTTCCTTCTTTCTATCTTTCTGTTTTCTTAGGTGGTATGGACAGGAAAAAGACTATAATGTACTAGTCATGGATCTTCTGGGACCCAGCCTCGAAGACCTCTTCAATTTCTGTTCAAGAAGGTTCACAATGAAAACTGTACTTATGTTGGCTGACCAGGTATGTGAAATGTTCACTGTATTATGATCTTAATATCACTGGTTATATTCATTTTAGTTAATCATTCTAATGTGTCAATGTTTTCCTATGGGTGTAGAACAAAAAATGGAATTGCGTTGGTTTATTACTCATTTGTAGACTAGTTGTTTTCAAGCTACTCCTTTGTATAGAGCTTGTTTTAGTGTTAAATATGGCAGATTTTCTTGTAAACTTTATGTGAAGACCAACGTGTATACATGTGGTATCATTATGAAAACTGTGTGTGTGTATTTGAAAGGCAGAGAGAGATCTTTCCTCGCTGGTTCACTCCCTGGATGGCCGTAATGGCCAGGGCTAAGCCAGGCTGAGGCCAGGAGCTTCATCTCGGTCTCCCACATGAGTGACAGGGGCCAAAACACTTGGTCCATTTTCCACTGCTTTTCCCAGGCTATTAGTGGGGAGCTGGATTGGAAGTGGAGCAGCTGCGACACAGACAGCGCTCATATGGGATGCCAGCATCACAGGTGGTGGCTTTTACCCACTATGACATGGTGCTGGGCCCCAAAAGCTGTATAATTTGTAGGACAGTAAGGTACTGAAGTAATTTAAGAATTTTTGACCAAATTGATGTTTCTTAAGGTAATGGTTTCTCAGCCATTGGTAGTATTTAAGAAGCTTTGAGAAGTCTTAGAGATGTAATAATTTAGATGCATACTTTGATTAGAGGGTAGCTAAAATGGCTTTTCAGCTGAAGCTTGGCTACTTTGATTTCAAAAAAATGAATTCGGGAACAAACCTTGAGAAAAGATAATACATGAAGATAATAGGTAAATATCAAGAAATTTATGATTTTTAGTTTGGTCAAAATTTGTCACCTTTAAAGGGAAAGAAAATGTTGGAAATACTTCAGGTTAAATTGAGTGTACTTGTAAAAATGTCTTTAAAGAGAATGGTATTCCCTAAATATAAATCACATATCATAAAGGAAAATGAGATGACTAATAGAACTGGCATTTGCAGTAGAGTTTTAGAAATTCTGTGAATCCAAAGGATTAGAAAGTAGTGATCATTTCCTGTAATCTGCACCTGATGGTCCGCAAGCTTCTTAATTTAACATAAAAACTACTAGATAGCTCAAGCAAATATTTGCAAATTATGTATGATGTTTAATTTGTGGCGCATTGTAAGTTCAAGCATTAAAAGTTTTAAAATCTTTTAATATATTTTAGCAAACTTGTGAGTGAATCCTAATTAAAAGAGTTACAGCTTATATTTTGTAGGCTTAGTAACAAGCATTCATATGGTGAACCTGTATTGAAGGCTTACCACTGTACTCTGGTGGGTGCAAAGAGTAAGAACTAATCTTTTCCTCTAGAGGCTTTGAGTGTGGAAGAGAAAGGTGTAAAAATACGATTATTAAGACTCTGTGTTGGATGTACTGGTAACATGAGAAAGAATGTAATTCTGGAGGAGAGGATTAAAGAAATGTTTACTTTGAGGCAGTTAACAGCTGTCTTGCTTTGTAGATGATAGGTAGTACTTGTCATACTCTGTAGTTTGTGCCATTAATTATCCTTTACTCAACCTTTTCCAGTGATTTAATAGTCACAGTTTAATGATGGGTATTACTTAACTAAGACACATAGGCACATTAAGTGACCTGAATATTTTATTTTACTTCCTTTAAAGTATAAGTTGCTGCTGCACCTAAAGCTAGTATTTTGTGCATTATATGTATTTACTACTTTCAGGGTATGAACAGTTTAAGCCAGAGATTACCAGTTTGACTTCAAAAGATACTTGTCAAGGTAGAGAAGGATGATTTAAAATCTGTATATCCAAGGTAATAAAAGCTCTGGGGGAAATCAGGACAAATAAAAAATAGAATCCTGACACATACTACTGAGAAGAGCAAGAACATATGGGTAGAAAGATAATATTGGTATCTTTGGATATGCACTACATTTTAAAAAAATATCTTCTAAGTAAGTATCTTACAGCAAAGATATACTTGATAATTTGAAAATTGTAAAAGTTACATAAAACAGATGCCATAAGTAGTCAAAAAAGAATTTTTTTAAAGTTTAAATCTATATAACAAACAAAAGATTACCTGTGGTATACAGAGAACTCCTAAAAGTTGACAAGAAAAGGATAGACCTACCTATCAAAATGGCAAAATTTAGGAAGAGCTAAAATAACTTTGCTTGTTTGAAAAAGAATACTTTGAGGGGCTGGCACTCGTGGCACAGTAGGTTAATACTTTGCCTGTGGTGCTGGCATCCCATATGGATGCCAGTTCTAGTCCCGGCTATTCCTCTTCCAATCCAGCTCTCTGCTGTAGCCTGGGGAAGCAGTAGAAGATGGCCCAAGTGCTTGGGCCCTTGCACCCGCGTGGGAGACCAGGAAGAAGCTCCTGGGTCCTGGCTTTGGATTGGCACAGCTCCTGCCCTTGCAGCCAACTAGGGAGTGAACCAACGGGAGGAGGACCTTTGTCTCTGTCTCGTCCTCTCACTGACTGTAACTCTACCCCTCAAATAAATAAATAAAATCTTTTTTTAAAAGTAACAGTTATCACCAAATAGCAACTAATTACAATAGAAAAAGAAAAAAACTTTAAAAAAAGATAAACAATACTTTGATATACTACTGTTGGAAATTAGAATTTTATAGACGGTTTTGAAAGATAGTCTGACATTATCAATGAAAAATACACATTCCCTTCATGAAACCCCTTCTCACTATAATTATGTGGTATTTATAGCCCATTAAATAAAAGCATCAGTAGGTAAGGAAACACTGGTAGTAATATTTATTGTTTACAGTAGAGAAAAAATAAACAATGATTATGTAAGAATACTTCAAAAAATTGATGGAAAATGGAAATAAAGGATAAATGTTGGGGCATAGCAGTTAAGATGCCTCTTGGGCATGCTGCATCCCATATTGGAGCACCTGGGTTCAAATCTTGGCTCTGCGCTTAATTCCACCTTTTCTGTTAATGTACACTTTGGTAAGCCAATAATAGTTTGGTCCCTGCCACCCATGAGGGAGACTTGGCTTTGGCCTGGCCCAGCCCCAGCTATCTTGGACATTTGAGGAGTTGAACTAGCAGATGAGAGATCACTGTCTGGCTCTCTGCCTTTCAAGTAAACAAATTTTTAAAAGTTTGCAAGAAATAATTCTTATAAAGATTTATATTCTTATTTGAAAGAGTGGCAGGGCGAGGATTTGCATCTTACGAGTTCATTCCCCCAGTGGCCTCAATGGCCAGGACTGGCCCATGCTGCAGCCAGGAGTCAGGAACTCCATCCTAGTCTCCCACATGGGCGGCAGAGGTCCAAGTACTTGGCCGTCTTCCACAGCCTTCCCAGACACATTAGCAGGAAGCTGGATCAGAAGTAAAGCGTTGGGGCTGGCTTGTGGTTGATTGGGTAAAGCCGCCGCCTCCAGTGCCTGCATCAAGTCCCAGCTGCTGCACTTCCAATCCAGCTCTGCTATGGCCTTCTGCTTAGTAGAAGATGGCCCGAGTCCTTGGACTCCTGCACCTGCATGGGAGACCTGAAAGAAGCTCCTGGCTCCTGGCTTCAGATGGGCGCAGCTCTGGTTGTTGGGGCCATCTCGGGGGTGAACCAGCAGATGGAAGACCTCTTTCTCTGCCTCTGCCTCTCTGTAACTCTGCCTTTTAAAATACATAAATAAACCTTTAAAAAAAAAAAGTAAAGCAGTGGCTTAACCCACTGCTCTACAGTGCTTATTCTGGCTGCAAAAAATTGTTTAAATCCAAGCACATGTTTTTCATGAACGTTTTGAAGATAAGTTGTATGCATGGATTTCCATTTTTTTGAACCAAAATAAACTTATCTTTTAATTCCGTTTCCTATGAACTTTTAAAGTACCCTAATACTGTGTTTAGTGGAATAATAGTGAAACTGTATCTCATAGAATGTAGCTATTACATTGTGTATTAATAGATAAGGCTGCTTTCTTTAATGCTGCCATTTCATATGGGTATGGGTGCTGATTTGTGTCCCAGCTGCTCCACTTTTAATCCGGCTCCCTAATAATGGCCTAGAGAAAGCAGAAGGTGGCTGAAGAGTAGCAACCGGGACAGAATCCAGTGCCCTGACCGGGACTAGAAACCGGGGTGCCGGCACCTGCAGGTGGAGGATTAGCCTAGTGAGCCGCGGTGCCAGCTCTCCATTTACTTTTTTCTAACACTGTCTTTGTGAACTCCAAATAAGTGAGATCCTGAAATACTTAACATGTTGCTTTCTTTTATTACTTAACTCAGTTGCCTCTTCCCTCTTTTTTTTTTTCCAGATGATCAGTAGAATTGAATATGTGCATACGAAGAATTTTATACACAGAGACATTAAGCCAGATAACTTCCTAATGGGTATTGGTCGTCACTGTAATAAGGTTAGTCAAATGCTCTTTGCATGAAAAGAACAAAGAGTAAGATATCCACAGGAATTGCTTTGATAAATTTCCAGCCTTTAAAAAGCCATAGAAATTGAACTTGCTGTTGATAATTGCTTTATAAGATTGTGCTAGAAGGTTAATCAGCTAACTGTATTAACTTAGTAACTTAAAATAAATTTTCTCCAACTTACCCAACCAAAGTTCTTATCTATATGGGAATGTAAAATTCCAAGGTCTTTGTAATGAACTGTAATTGTCTGTTATTTAACTGAAGAACAATTGTATCTATTTTTGATTCACTTGAATAGTGAAAGACCCCATGTACTTTTCTTCCTGAATGCTTAAAATCAGATTTTAACCTTTTGCTCTGAAGTGTGGGTTTTTGTAATACATGTGCTTGTGCCAGTGTGGGAACCACTGACCCATCTGTCACCATGACGTTAACATTTGCTGATTGAGCATGATTGATACTGAGAATTCTTCAGTCCTTGAATTTGTGTATTTAAAAGGATAACTTTTGGGCTTGTTTGAAAAGTAGTTGACAGTTTCTTATTTGGGTGTCAAGTTGGGTGAATTCTCCACCCTTCCTCCCCCTTTTTAAAGAAAAAAATAGACAAGTGAAATGAACATTCATACAACAAAACTCGTGTTCTCTGGGGTTTCTGAGAATGGTTCAATTTATGGGGTGATGGGTTTTAGCTAGTGACGCATGATTGAAGTTAGAAAATAATTGTGCTGAAATTTTTTCTTCAATGATTAGTTTTATGAGTGAATTGCTTTCTTTATTGATTGAATGTTGAGCTCGGGCAGACAGGCAGCATTGGCAGTGCACTTAAGCATGTTATAATCTGATGATCTGATAGAAATTCTCAACTTCAGGACAACCTGGGGGCTTTTTTGTTTTTTTTTGGTTTTTTGTTTTTTTGTTTTTTTTTGGTTTTTTCCTTTTGTTTTTGGAAGGAAGATTCCCATTTGTTTCATGGAACTTTCTAGGGAATGTTTGGTGCTTTAGGTCTAGATGTAAATGTTTACCTGTGTTTGCCTGTATGAATGCCAACTTGGAGACAATACCATTAGAATCTGTTATTTGTAAATGTGTGAGTTATTAATGTTGATCAAGTTTTAGGAAAATAAATTTTTTCATTGAGCTTTAAATAATGAAATATGTTTAATCTACATATGATTTGTCATTCCCAAATACATTTTTGAGATTTTGAAGTATCCAGGTTCTTGATTGTCATGGTCAAAACCTGGTAATTTAATTGAAAAAATTACTGATCTTACTTTTGGGTGGGGGACAATTTTGTCAGTTTGACTCTAATCTTTGGCCATTTCTCAATCATTTGCTTATCCCAAAAGACCCTATATTACCATATGATCCCTGTTCTGCATGTTTACCATGCAGTACATGATTTTTGCTTTAAATTTAGATGATGGCCTAGATAATAAACACCTCAGGTTTTTTTGTTGTTGTTTTTTGTCCCCCCCCCCCCCCCCAAGGATAGCTTGTTAATCATGTAGTTGTGTTTAATAGGAAGTCCTAGTTACCCAGTGGTGAAAAACTTTTTAGGATCTATATCCTCCTTACAGGTAATAAGAAGAATTTTGGGATTTTTGTGGAGCCGTTTTGCCTGTTAGAGTTTCAGAGAGTCCCTGAGGTGGAAATGAAGTGTCTTATTTACGATTCAGATACTCAGTGTTGCTGTTGAATATTTTAGCGTTTTGTTTATGTACTTGGCTTTTAGTGTTTTCTGTATTGTAGCTGGAAAAATGTCAGTTAGATAAGACTGGATTTTTTTTTTTTTTGTCAGCTTGTTCCAGGAGTTTTATTCATTGCGGGGAGGAAGATTTTGGGGGCTTTTGAGGTCAATTTTTAATAAATTTCTTAATTTGGAAAATTGTTCTGAATTTGATACTTAGGAGTAGCCACTCCAATCTTAGTGAATTTGTTCATCTCTTCCAGTAATCAGCCCTGCATGCTTATGAAAATAAATTTTAAGGTGACTAAATGCCTTCTACCTCTTCCTTACTGAAGATTTTTTTCCCCTATACAATCTTTTTTTTGGGGGAAGGGCAGATTGTGGTAACCAAAGATTACAGCTCTAAATTCCCCATTTTTGTTTATAAAAGAGCCAAATGTCACCATTGCTATCCCTGTTTCAGGCAGTGACACAATATAGTGGCATTAAAATACCTGAGTATTCTCCAGAATTGAAATGTTCTTAAGCATGTGATTCCTATTTGGAAAACTGAGAAGCTACAGTGCTTGGTGGAAGAAGGATGGCATTTGGCTACCCTGTTCTTTCTCTAATGCCTCGGTGTTGCCTGTCTGCGCCGGCCATTGTTGCAATGTAAGCAATACTGTTTGATGCACTGCCACCCTCTATTGTCTGTTTAGTGTTTAGAATCTCCAGTGGGGAAGAGGAAAAGAAGCATGACTGTTAGTACTTCTCAGGACCCATCTTTCTCAGGATTAAACCAGGTCTGAAACTGTCTCCTATTCCAACCTCAATCCCAAATTCATGTGCTTTTTCTTTTTTATTGTTTTATTTTGATTATTTTTGTTTTGTTTTTATTTCTGGAGAATGTAGATCTTGCTCGAGCACCTCTTACGTTGGCATTATTCAGACATACTTGGCAAACATAACATTACTAAGATGTTTCTTTGTGGCTTTTGCTTAAAACTTGTAAATTTAGAGAAAATCTAAATGAAAATAGGATATTATGTTTAGATCTCTAACATCCATATGAGGATATGCTATGTTGGTCTAGTATTGAAATGCTTTATCTAATAGTAACTTTGAGATAGCTTGTTTAGTTTTTAAAAATGTATTTGGAGTTACAGAACTTAATACACGGAAATTCAGTTGCATCAGTGCTGTAAAATGAACATATTGTGCCTCACCTCTCTTCCCCTTCCCTAATGAACTTCAGGTAAGTGTAGATCAGATTTCAGATCTAGTGTTTCTAGAATTGATTTATCTCAGTCTGAATTGTTAGCTTCCTCCAAATGCATATGCTCTGAAACTAGAAAACAGTGCATTCTTAGCAATATAACAGCATAATAATATAAGCACTTACCAAGCTAAATGGTAATTACCATTTGTAATTTGAAAGATGGATGAGTGCATAATATGAGTTAGCTTTTGGCTAGCTAGGTACACATTACAAGAAAAAAATTTTTAATGGGGTCCTTTACATTTTTCTTTACCTATTCATTCACACATCATTTAATGATGGATTGAAATGTTAAATTGTTTCTTTCTGTATATACAGATTAGTAAGGTTTTAAGGGATCCTGCAAATTTTGGTCAAGAGAAAGGCAATGTAACCCCTGGTTAGGAGGAAAATTGTTCCTAGTAGTACAATCTAACATTAGCAATAGTGTTTCTGAAGAAAATTTACCTCTGCTGAATAAATCATCCCTAGTTTATTAAACATGAACTATTTCCATATGCCTTTGAAGAGCAGGCAGGCTATATATATTCTTTCAAACATGCACAGATTTTACTTACAAGTTAGTTAAAAAATCCACAGAAAAGTAGCTTGACCCACCAAAGATTTCACCTTTGTCTGCATATGGAAGCTTATAAAATTGTTTTTCTTTTGCTTATGTGATACTGTCTTTTTCTCATTTGATTCTGCCTTTTACAAATCTATGGCTGTTTGTATCCTTGGTATCATTACATATTGGCATTTGTTTGTTGTTGAAAGCATACAGAAAACTAAAGAAGCTTTACCAAGAGATTTTTACTATTTTACTATTTTTACTATTTGAATTGTTTGCTGAAAACAGAATACCTTTCTTCAGCAATGGTATTTATATAAGGAGAAGAGAAAATTTAAAGTTGATTAATTTGCAGTTTTTTGTTTTTATATTAAAGATTGAGATATAAGAAGGTAGTCTTGACATATTTTTAATTTTTTTAAAATAATGTTTCCTCCCTTAGTTTTGGAAGGAAATGATTCTCTATTGAATGCTGAGTTTCTGTAAAGCTGTCTTTGGCTGTGAGAAAGTGTCTGGTATTTGAGTTGCAGATGGAGCTAATGAAGGTAGAGTTAGACATAAATGAAACTATCAGAATTGTGTCAGAACTGTTCCTTTTTTCTATTTTGATGTGCTAGAGGAAGCAATCTCAGAAAATACCCCTAGAGGAAATTTTACCAATTACTCTCCATTTTAAAAAAAATCCCAGAAAGGCTGAATGTCTTTTTGTGTTTATTTTTCCCATATTTTCTTTTTCACTATGAATCTGCTGCACTTATAATTTTTGTTTTGCTTAACCAGAAATGTATTTTGCTCATTTTAATATTTCATGTACTGAACTGGTTTTCATATAGAAAAATTTACAATGTGAACCTTTAATGTTTTGTGTAAGACTGACTTTCCCTTACTCCTATGATAACTGGATTGTTTAGGAAAGAAATTTAATCTTATTACTTACAGAGTCTTCATCTTTCAATTACATTTTACTAATAATTTAATCTTCAGTGTTTTGTGGTAGACCAAATGAAAATAACTATCTAATTGTTGACATGTAACAGAAGCTCAAATGCTGATATCCTTACTATCCAGAGTATAACTGAGAATAGGTTACACCCTGATGGAAATAGATATTATTCGTCCTCCTAAAAGAGACAATTGGTCAGATCTTTTCAACCTAAATCAGTAACTCACTGTATTTATTTTTAACACAGGCCCTAATGGGTTAGTGAAATTACACATTGTGGCAGAAGGGACCCAATAGCCTAATGAAAAGAAATATAAAAGTTAGGCATAACCAGAAAAGAATAATAGAACTATGTAGCATAAGGCACCTAGACCTGCCTGGCACAATAATCTTGGCACATACAACTTTGTTGCAGTGTTAGTACAAGTGATTTTTGGTCAAGATTTTAAAAGATTATTATTTTGCTTTATGAATTAAGTAAATGTTGATGTATTTTGGATTTTTTCCATTAAAAATAGGGATTTTTTTTCTTTTAAAATTTAATTTTGGAGAATAAACTTGAATTACTTAGGAAAATCAGCTACATTATAAATGAGTGCCTTATTCCCTGGGTACCATTTAAACAAAATAACACTAAACATTCTTTTGTTTTAGAATACTAGTTTTCTTTTTAGTTAGCTCTTTTAAACTGCTAATGGTAAACTGCCTTGCTTTGAATGCTGAGTGTTTTTTTTTTTTGTTTTCGTTTTTAGATTTTTTAGATCAACTTGTTACATTTTCCAGAAGTTTAGCCTGATCACATGTGTAATGTCAGTGTGAAGTAACAGAATATAATGCATGTGTCTTTAGGAAAGGCTTTTTTTTTTCTTTCTTTCTTTTTTGGGGTGGGGGTAAGACAAAGGCTTGGTTTTATTGGCAGTATCACTTTCAGGGTTGTCTTATTTTAGATAATGAGCATTCTGCTGGCATGCTGAAGAGTGGCTTTTGTAGGAGGAAAGACTTCCAGAAAACTTAATGTCTAGATTTTGAAACTCCATGGTTATTTAGCAGTAGTAACAGGATGTCAGGTTTCATAATGACCAAAAGACACAATTGACAGCTCATGTATGGATTTCTCCACTTATTTGATAAAGCCAGGCTCCTGAGAATATAAGGAACTGGGCCTGTGAAATTGTGCAGATGAAAAAGAAACTAGAAGGCTTTAATGATATTTTTTAAACTGGATTTATTGATGAGCTCTAGTAAAAGCTTATTGGGGTATTGTCTGTTCATTACCTGTTCCACTTAGGATTCTTTGTTCTAATGTGGTAGAATACATAGAATAGATACCATTTAATAAATAAGGAACAGTTTTATTTGGACAAGGCTGGAAACCTAATGTCCTTTTATTTCTCTTTTAAAGTTATTCCTTATTGATTTTGGTTTGGCCAAAAAGTACAGAGACAACAGAACAAGGCAACACATACCATATAGAGAAGATAAAAACCTCACTGGCACTGCCCGATATGCTAGCATCAATGCACATCTTGGTATTGAACAGAGGTGAGTTTTAAAATTTATGATAGGCTTATCCAATCCATAACAAGCCATTAGTCGATTTCTGAAATATTTTGATTAGGTTTTTTGTTGTTGTTGAAGCATGTCTCTTGGTTGAGGATTTGAAAGATGCTTATTTAATTGTTTTACTTGCTGCTTTAAGGGTACACAGAAGCCAGTTAACATGAAGTTTATTGTTTTCTTTATCTCTTGAGGAGAAAATATTACATGATAGAAAATTAGAATCATATTTTAATAATGAAAGTTCAGTTTTACGCAGGAATATAGAAGGTCTTCAAAAAATGAGTATTATGAAAAAAAGTACAAGTACAAAGAACACTTGTAAAAGTGTTCTGCTACTTGATTTTCAGTTTTCATTGACCTCATTTAAAGAATTGTTTAAATTAATTTTGTTCTTTATTAAATTGTATGAGCATACTTCAAAACATTTATGGAAAAATAGAATTAAAAGATTGTTTTAGGGGCTGGTATTGTGGCATAGTGGGCCAAGCCTTTGTGTGCAGTGCTGGTATTCTATATGGGCTCCAGTTCCTGTCGCAGCAGCTCATTTTCCAATCTACCTCTTTGCTGTGGCCTGAGAAAGCAGTAGAAGATGGCCCAAATACTTGGGCCCCTGCACCCAAGTGGGAAACCCAGAGAAGTTTTTGTTTTGTTTTGTTTTGTTTTTCATGAACTTTTTGAGGACTTCTTATGCATGACGGTTTTTTTTTTTTTAATGTTTTTGTACCAGAATAAACTTATCTTTTACAGCAGTAGTTCCAGTTCATAAAATAATGTTCTGTTTTTCTAGCCGCCGAGATGACATGGAGTCATTAGGATATGTTTTGATGTATTTTAATAGAACCAGCCTGCCGTGGCAAGGACTAAAGGTAAATCAGACTCAAATTACCAGTTATGTTTTCTAAGAGAAATAAATATTGGGGAAGATGCCCGTTAAGGTCTCTATCATATCTAAGATCAAACAAACTGTAATTTATTTCGATCTTTCATTTGGGAAAATAGAAAAAAATAACCTGTCCAGTGAGCACTTAATTAATGGAAGTTGACTGTCTCTATTGAGACAGTAAGTCAGTACAAATTGATAATCACTAGTGTTAGATAGTTGAAAGTTGACATAGGTGAAGAAAGGGACTCATTTAATTTGTTGCCATTGCATTTAAAATGTGTAGTCGGACCTATTTGTCTAATGATCATAGAAATATTTTGCAGTTATTCTAACATTTTGATTTTAAAGGAAAAAGACAACCTATTTGCTGAACAACTAAATTAATCAGTGCACTCAGTGCTTACATGAGTAACTTTATCCAATATGAATATTTTGATATTGGAAAAATAATTTTGACTTAAACAATTAACTTTAGCTCTAGTTAATTATTAATGTCACTAAATGATAGGCATGTTTTTGTTTGTGTGTGACCCCATTTATACCTTGGCCCTGGTGTTGAATGTGGGTTAAAATGCTTTTCAAATTTGCTGGCGCTGCGGCTCAATAGGCTAATCCTCTGCCTTGCGGCGCCGGCACACCGGGTTCTAGTCCCGGTCAGGGCGCCGGATTCTATCCAGGTTGCCCCTCTTCCAAGCCAGCTCTCTGCTATAGCCCAGGAGTGCAGCGGAGGAAGCTTTTCAAATTTGAACCCCGCCCATTTTTACTTAAATCCTTCATCTTTATGTCACTATTAGCTCACTCTTTCTTAATGCTAAGTTGGGTTTTTGTGGAAAAAACTCACTTCAAGAGTAAACTGATGGCTTATGAAAAATTTTTAGATGCATCGTAGTTTAAGGTTTCTTTTGAATCAATCTCCAAGTATACATTTATATATCTAGTGTGTTCTGCTACTAAGGTTTTTCTCACTAATACCTGTTATGTATGTGTGTTTTGATTCTAAGGCTGCAACAAAGAAACAAAAATACGAGAAGATTAGCGAAAAGAAGATGTCCACTCCTGTTGAAGTTTTATGTAAGGTAAGTATTAAATAAATGTAAATTATCCAAGTACAAAAATTATATTTTACTTATCAGCCATATAACTTAAACATTCTACTTGGCAGCTATTTGCCATTTTAAATTTACAATTTGATTATTCAAAATAGTTTTATTGTGGCATTGGCTTGAATATAAAATAACAGTGGCACCCCCCACACACATGCATGCATTGGGAGGCAAAGAGAAGAGTGACAGAGACCTCCCATTCCTCGGTTCAATTCCCAAATACCCCAACTGTTGGGACTGGGTTAGAATGTGCTGGGCAGAAACTGGGAGGCCAGAAATCAGTCCAGGTCTCCCCCCTGAGTAGCATACCAGTGTTTATTTTCTGGTTTGCTTGTACTTTCTGATTTGGTGAAAAAAAAAAAAAAAAAAAGGGAGGGAGGGAGGAAGATTGATTAACAGGGCAAGTAAACTTTTCTAATAGAACCTCATGAATCTGTGAGAAAAATGAAGAAATATTTTTCTTATCCCTAAACTAATGCCTGGAAAGAATGGATATCAGCAGTTATTATATTCAAGGAATACAGCAACAGGCAGAAAAATTGGAGCAATGCAAAAAAGCTATTGTCCAACAATAGAGAAATTATAGAAGACAGTTTGAGTTGAGCTCATAAGTGAAATCTCAAACTTCAAAGAAAGGCAGGTTTAAAATGGAGAGGCTTTTGTGTCATGATAAATCATGATTTTCATAGAAAGAAGGTCATATGGTCTTGAGACAAGAATTGCATACCTAAAATTAATTAGAAAATAATATATAGTCTAGGTAAGTGGCTGAGTGATAGAATGGAGAGAATAATGGGAGTAAAAATGGACTTTGTGGAGTGGGAAAATGGGGTGTCTTGTGTCCCCATCTGAGAATTAACTTTCCCCTTTTCTACATGTCTGCAATAGAGGAGATGGTTAGCAGATTGTGATACTTTCTGAATGTCTTTGTCTTACTTTAAATTACAAAATACAGCTTAGATTCATGAATAATTATGTACACATAATCTACCCAAATACATTTTTGTTAATATTTTTTGAAGATTGATTTATTATTTGTTTGAAAGGCAGTGTGACAGGGAGAGACAGATCCTCATCTGCTGGTTCACTTCCCAAATAAAACAGTTGGGGATGGGCTGGCAGAAGCCTGAGCAGGGATTCCAACTTTTGTGGGTCTCCCCAAACCCTTGGGCCACTTTCCACTGCCTTTTCCAGGTACATTAGGGAGCTAGATCAGAAGTGGAGCAGCTAGGGCTGCTAACTAGGTACTAACTAGGTAGCCTGTTATGTGGTCTGTCAGAAGTTAATGAAGAGATCAAAAATAACATAAGGATACTTGGAATATATTAGTGGAAAACTGCATAATATATATACAATGTAATAACAGTTGCATAAACAGCAAAGAAAGGCAATATATTTATAAGAAGCAGCATTGAATTATATATCATAAATGGTATGGGTTTGTTTTTAAGTTTTATTTATTTATTTGAAAGAGTTAGAGAGACAGAGAAAGAGAGGTCTTCCATCCTCTGGTTCACTTCCCAATTGGCTGCAATGGCCAGAGCTGCACTAATCCGGAGCCAGGAGCTTCTTCTGGGTCTCCCACGCAGGTGCGGGGGTCCAAGGACTTGGGCCATCTTCTGTTGCTTTCCGAGGCCATAACATAGCAGAAGCTGGATTGGAAATGGAACAGCCGAGACTTGAACCTGCACCCATTTGGGATGCTGGCATTGCAGGCGGCAGCTTTACCCATTATACCACAGTGCCGGCCCCTGTGTTTAGTAGTGGTTGTTTTGTAAGGCTACAATCCTGGTGATCCTACTTTTTTTGTTTAAACAGAATGTACTAATATTTATAAAAAGAAGGAATATTATTAGGTAGAAGAAAGTGTTCGTTTCTTGTCCTGTTCCAAACACATGTCCTTTTTGATACTTGTTTGTTATTACCATCAAGTTATTAAATGTTGATAATATATAGTAAATTAATAGGTGGGATATCTGACTTAATAAAGAATATAAGTGCTGAAGGAAAAGAGTATTTATTTCCCCTACCAGTGTAAGATGATATTGCACAGTATGGAATGAGGAGGATGAGATTTTGTTTGAATTTATGAAGAAACCAACTCAAAATTATTCTAATTCATAGCTTCCTACAAATTAGTAAAAAATACTCATACATTTTTAACTATATTTCAATACATTTATTTTCCTATCTTAAAATTTTTGTGTTTTTTGGGCCTATAGGGGTTTCCTGCGGAGTTTGCCATGTACTTAAACTATTGTCGTGGGCTGCGCTTTGAGGAAGCCCCGGATTACATGTATCTGAGGCAGCTATTCCGCATCCTTTTCAGGTAGGTTTTCTTTCTTATTCCTTTAAAAATATTTATTTTATTTGAAAGGCAGAGTGACACATGCATTCACTTGCGTGCGTGCACACACACATACACACACACACAATCTTCCATCTGATTCACTGTCCCATTGGCCACAAGAGAATGTTCTGGACCAGGCCGAAGCCAGGAGCCAGTTATTCCATCCAGGTCTCCCATGTGGGTGTCAGGGGCCCAGATACTTGGACTGGAAGGAAGCAAAGCAGCCAGGACTGGAGGTAGCACTCTGGTAGGGGATGCTGTTATCACCCACTTCACCATAATACCTGCCCCTGAGGTAGGTTTTTATGGTGCTTTTGAGACTGAAATGCCAGTGAGGAAATTATTTAAATCCATTAAACTTATTTCTTTTATAATGAGCTAAAGTAAAGAAGGACCAAAAATCAATCTGTAGTACAAATGTACTTGAGATTATATGAGTTTGGGGTTGATAAACAGTCTAATTTTTCCTAAAAAATTGGAACTCATATTAGATGTGGCAGTCAGTGTACCAAAGAACTAACTATCCAACTTTGGCACAGAGCAGAACTCTGTTAAGTACCAAATTTTTAAAAAGTATTTAAAATACTTGTTATGGTAAATCTGTCATAGTATGGAGACAGCCCCAAGCTAGATTTCCTTTGACATATGTGGCTCAAGCTCTTAGTGGAAGTGTAAGAATTAAGGTTAACCTCTTAGCCCCCAGAAAAGTCTTTCCAAACTTGTAGTTCCATACCTACTCTTACTTTTTTTTTTTTTTTTTTTTTTTTAAGATTTATTTATTTATTTGAAAGTCAGAGAAGGAGAGGTAGATACACAGAGAACGAGAGGTAGAGAGAAAGAGAGGTCTTCCATCTGCTGTTTCATCCCGCAGTTGGCCGCAACAACTTGAGCTTCGCCGATCTGAAGCCAGGAGCCAGGAGCTTCTGGGTCTCCGATGTGCAGGGGCCCAAGGACTTGGGCCATCTTCCACTGCTTTCCCAGGCCATAGCAGAGAGATGTATCAGAAGTGGAGCAGCTGGGACTTGAACTGGTGCCCATATGGGATGCTGGCACTGCAGGCAGCAGCTTTACCATATATATTATCTGATACAGTAGACCAGAGTGTTGAAATCATTTCCTCATAATCATGATATGTAAAAAGTAGAATTACTTCACTGAACAGTTAGAAATGTATATGGGGAGAAATCTTTTAGGAGCTGCCAAACTAAAGAGGAGATAGTCCTATTGTAAAATGCCTTTGACAGTCTTGGAAAGCCACTAAAATATCAACTACACTTTGTTACTGAAGGCTTAACTTGCTTAATTTTATGTCTTTCAGGACCCTGAACCACCAATATGACTACACATTTGATTGGACAATGTTAAAGCAGAAAGCAGCACAGCAGGCAGCATCTTCCAGTGGGCAGGGTCAGCAGGCCCAAACCCCCACAGGCAAGCAAACTGACAAAACCAAGAGTAACATGAAAGGTTAGTAGCCAAGAACCAAGTGACGTTACAGGGAAAAAAATTGAATACAAATTTGGGTAATTCATTTATTTCTAACAGTGTTAGATCAAGGAGGTGGTTTTAAAACATAAGAATTTGGCTGTATGTTTAAAAAAAAAAAAAAAGACGTCCTTGGAAAATTTGACTACTAACTTTAAACCCAAATGTCCTTGTTCATATATATATGTATATGTATTTGTATATACATATATGTGTGTATATTATATCATTTCTCTTGGGATTTTGGGTCATTTTTAACAACTGCATCTTTTTTACTCATTCATTAACCCTTTTCCAAAGTAAACATTTGGTGTTGGGAATGTGGTATAATCAATCAATCCAAAATCCTAGACCTAACACTTGTTGATTTTTAATGAATCTGGTTAGCCATGGTATTTTGACTTTCTTTTAGACTAACGGTATTAAGAATTTTTTTTTTGCATGTTAATGCGTTAGCACTTAAAATGGAAAATTGTGAACTTGATCTAATTTGAAGAGCGTGGCATTGCCCCCAAAGTGTCTGTCAGTTGCAGAACATCTTATTTCTCTTTCTTTAAATGCTTAAATGACTACAAAGCTTGATACATCTTTCCTAGTCATAGAAATTAGTCTCTTACCTACTGTTTAATTATATAAATCCTTACTTTCAAAATGATTCCTTTGTATTTGGCCTTATTTTTTAAGATGTTACACATATCAGGCTTTAGAGGCTCAGTGTGCATGAAGTATGCAGTTAGACCTTGTCAATTGAAGATAATTGGGGCAAATGCCATTGAACTACTGGTCTATTTACTTGGTGTCTCTGGCACTGGTGGTGCTTCTGAGGAGTAGAACTGTTGGGCATGGCTCCATTTTTTTTATTGCTATTGCCATATAGTTTGTCTCCCTTTTTTATGGCTTGTTTTATTTTCCTCCTTCTGAGGCTTACTCCTAATACCTGCCTACTTGAAGTGGTGGGCAGGTAAGATTCAGCTTTTAGTTTCTAATTTAATTACTGAATGGTTGCTCTAGTCTAAGCTTGGCTTTCATAAATTAATCTTTGATCTATTCTATGTTTTCTAATGTTGTATTTAAATGATTTGTAATTTAAAAATATATTCCAATCCAGCAGTACTTGATGTGTAATCAACTGATATGCTCCTCATCCCAGCAGCTTATCATTAGGAATGAAATTGATAGACTTCCCTTTTGTATTTTGAATTTGGGAAGGTTTAATGTAATTGGTATTCTTAGATGATGAAATTTAAGCTCAGGATAGAAAACACTAATTATCTGCCTCTGCATCTCAGTAGGGACTTAATTGCCTCTTTTGAGTGTTTTAATTACTGTGTAACTAATTCTGCCAAAAAGTTCATTAAAGGTAGGTAGCTAGGGTCACTGAAATGGTCCTACCAACTAGAAGCTCTAAACCAAGAACTTGTTTAGATGCTTACAGTACATTTGCTTTTTCTCACAGTGAAACCCATTTTTGCCTAAAGCTAGCTGGGATAATGGGATCATCACAAGTTGTAGTTTCTAGAACTAAAATTAGATTGAAATCTCATCTGACCTAGAACATTTGACTTGAGGCATTCATCAGCCTTCAAAAAGAATTACCTTATTTTGAGCTAGTTTCATTGTTAGTAAACTGTGTGTCTCTTACTGAATAAACAAGAATAATTTTTGCCTTATCCAGGTCCTAAAGATGAGAAGTTGGATCCACTGAGTTAGTGTGTTTCCTTGAAAAAAAAAAAGGTTGCAATTAAACTTAAGTTAAATCCTTATTTTGTATTGTAGCTACTTTTTATAAAAGTAAGTTTAAATTCTAACAATTTCATAGCCTTTTTAGATGTAGTCATATAAATTATTATATATACATGGAATTGTAATTCTGAAAAATTGGACTTTTTTATATGCTTTCAAAAATACATAGCTCAGGAGCCAGTGCTGTAGCATAGTGGGTTAAGTCCCCACCTGCAGTGACGGCATCCCATATGGGTGCCAGTTCTAGTCCCGCCTGCTCTTCTGATCCAGCTCTGCTGTGGCCTGAGAAGGAATAGAAATTGGCCCAAGTGCTTGGGCCCCTGCACCTGTGTGGGAGGCCTGGAAGAAGCTTCTGGCTCCTGGCTTCAGATCAACCCAGCTCCAGCCATTGAGGCCATTTAGGGAGTGAACCAGGGGATGGAAGACCTTTCTTTCTGTCTCTCCCCCTTTCTCTGTAACTCTGCCTCACAAATAAAATTTTTTTTAAAAAAAAGATACAATTCAGGGTGATACTTTAAGTAGGGTGTTGCTTTCTTCCAAAATACGCCACTCCACAGAAGACAAACAACAGAGTTCCGTTTGCTTTTTTATATATGATATTATTTGTTTTTCACAGCTGTACTTTCAGAGGCTTACCTATCAGTGAAATGAGTTTCATAATTGCAACTTCTATTATAGGAATATATGTTCCTGGGAAAATACACCTAATAATAGCATTCACTGATAGGTTCTGTATGGCTATTTTTGAAAGATATACATCTGATATTTCTACCAGGGGGAATTAATCCAGCAATTCCCTAGAAATGTGCAAGGGATCTTTTAAAAAGTCTCTTATGTAAGGAACAAAAGATTCACACCTGACAACACACTTCCAGATCCCTTTCATTCCCTTTTCATTAGCTGTATGTGACTGTTGAAAAAGTACTTTTCAAGATGCTTAAAAAACAATAAAGGAAAAGGAAATATTTTTAGGACATTTAAAATTCAGTCAAGTTCACCATTTCTTTAGTTGAGAATGGAGGTGGTAGATTGTTTCAGGAAATCATGAAGCCAAATGTAGAGCTTCATAGAATTCTATTCTCTTCCATTGTCTTAACTCTTCTGCTTACTACCTCCAGGCATAGATACTAAGCATAATCATAATAATAGAGATAAATGTCAAAATTGATGGCATTCAAAGGAGATCAGGAATATTTTTCCATCATGTTAACCTACCGTGTCCATGATCTTCCTTAAATTACCTTCCAGTATTTACTGGACTTCACCTACCATTTATGTGTAGCTTAACTTTTTCTGGCTTCACCAATTGCTGCTAGGAATGTGTTTGGTCACTCAGCAACATAACCCAAATCACAAGGGAAGAACTTGAAAATACCTGGAGAGACTGATTTTCTCTGAATATACTCAATCCAGAGAAGTACCAGGAAAAACTGCATCTGCTTGCTGAAATCTTGAATTTTTGTCAGCTTTTTTCACTGTGGACAGTAAAACTGGAGGGCAAAGAACTAAATAACGGAGCAAGAGCTGAAGCTGAAAGTCCAAGAGTTCATTTGTGGTGATCTAAAGTCCGGTCTCCAAGGTTTGCTGGAACTGTCAAAGTTTCCAACTGTCACGTTGTATGGACTATGCTACAACTATCAGAAGACCCGGAAGAGTACAGTGTTGGTGTGACTCAGTGGTGTGTAATACAAGCCATCTTCCAGTTGGGGAAAGAAAGAATCAGTTGTAACAGGTATTAAAACTCTTACAGAACAAGTTCTATAATGGGAAAGATGAGAGTTCAGATTATCAGTCTGCCTTTTAGTGCAGATTAGATGTGATGTGTATCTGCTACATTCAAATTGACATCTCATTTGTGATGATAAATATGTTTCCTTTGTCTTTCCCAATTTGATAGTTTTCTGTAGGGATGAGAGCTTTGCAGTGACTTTGGTGTTTCTTTAATTTTTACAGAGTGCCACTCAGTTTCAGAATTTTCTTAAGTTTCATTTTGTATGACCAAAGAACCACATGAGCATGTTACAGGAGAAGTTAGTTAATATAAATGACACTTAATGATGAATATTTTATTCAAAATAACTTTTAAAATTATGTATTGCTTATATTATGGAAGAATCCTAAATTTCAAAAGCCCACCACAGACTTTACATGCATGTCTTTTTGAACTAGCTGCTGATTCTATTGTTTTAAAAAATGAAGGGCATTTGGAGTTAGTTCACAAATAAGATATATATATTTTAGGTTTCAAATTGAAGGATATATACGTAGAAGCTTCCTATTTAGCTGTATAACCAAACATCCCCTGCCCTCCCACATTTGAACAATTTGAAAAGAAATTTAAATGTAACTATTATTCCTAAGTCATCACAGTAATCCTAGTAACAGTAGCCTAACTGGTGTCCCCCTCACACCTTTTTTTAATAGGAACAAAGGGATTCATCTCTCATTTTACCTAATATTGTCAAAATAGTTCTTTGGACTTTTGGAAGCAAGGAGCTGCCACCCAGTCTGCAAAGGAAGATCCAAGGACTCGAGCACACTGGAGAGGAGAATGCTGAATGCCTAAGTGCTGGAAGAGCAAATGTATCGAATATCTGCTGGGTGTTCCTGCTGAGGTTTCTTGTAAACAAACTGCACTAATGGCATAGGACAATCCCGTGGAGAAACAGTGCTCCCTCTGTGAAGAGTATCCTACCATTGACCCATCTGAAGAGTAAAATCTGGATTTGACTGCTCTGTCCTACCAGGAATACTCTTAGGCTAGCCTTTAACCAATCCCTAAACAATTGTAGTCACTAATTGGCCCAGCAGTTCCTCAAATATCAAAGCTGAGCAGTCCTATTAAAGATCCAAGTTTTCTGATATTTTGGCTGACAGTATAACTTGCCCTTGCTTTTTAGTTTCCTAATGACCATGATTTTCCATTTGAAAGATGCTGAAATGAAAATAAATTATTAATAAGATGTGATTACATAAACTCTGATAAACTTAATTAAATCCTGATGGGATACCTGTCATTTCTGTTTAGCCCATCTGTAGTTTCTTAACCTGTATAGTTTCTTATTCTGGAAAACTAGAATTAGATTACAGAATATTGTCTGATGTAAGTTTAAGTGAGGTTTACCTTGCTAATCCTACTTAATAATATATTTAAATAGTTTCATCATCTTTTATTTTTAGCATTTACATCTTTACAAACTTAGTACTCAGGCAACACAGATCTGTTAGACACCTGTTCTGTTGTGGAAAAGTAAAGAAGTAAAGCACTCATATCTGTCCTTGGGGCTTAGCGTAATACATTTGTTAAATAGATGCTTCCCATGAAGTCCATAGGGGGTGGTCCAGCAAATGTTGAGATGTAGAATGAAAGGATTGGCTAAAACATGTTTTGTGCTAAAGAAGGGAAGAAATAGTTCAAAGTGGGCTAGAATTCACCGTAATTAGGTTGTCTATAAAGCTCTGGAAGTGGGCATAGGGTCACTAATGCCTCAAAGAAAAAGAAACTGAAGGAGAGAGAAGATAGTGGCATTTTCAGATTTTTGCTGATAGGCATGTCTCCTCTTTGCAGCATGCACATCTGTATTGAATACAAATGTTCTTGTGTTCAAACCTGCATTTATATAGAAGCCTTAGGGGAAGAGAGGAGGAATGTGTACAGAGTGGGAAGACTTGAAGTAAATAAAACCAAAAAAGTATCCCATTTTTACACTTTCAACTTAGTGATAAAAGATCTTTAATACAACTAATGGAAGTCAAGAAATATTAAAGGCCTTTCTGGGATTTCTTTTTTCTTTCTTTTCTTTCTTTTTTTTTTTTTTTGACAGGCAGAGTGGACAGTGAGAGAGAGAGAGACAGGTCTTCCTTTGCCGTTGGTTCACCCTCCAACGGCCGCTGCGGCCGGCGCACAGCGCTGATCCGATGGCAGGAGCCAGGTACTTCTCCTGGTCTCCCATGGGGTGCAGGGCCCTAGGACTTGGGCCATCCTCCACGGCACTCCCTGGCCACAGCAGAGAGCTGGCCTGGAAGAGGGGCAACCGGGACAGAATCCGGCGCCCCGACCGGGACTAGAACCCGGTGTGCCGGCGCTGCAAGGCGGAGGATTAGCCTAGTGAGCCGCGGCGCCGGCCTTTTCTGGGATTTCTGCACAGAAATCATATACTTTTCAGATCTGGGTTCGGTGGAATAATTCTGATAGGTATGCCTTGAACGCATTATTATTGAAGCTTGCCATTCCTAATTAGTGTCAGAAATAATGTGCACAAAGTTTGTGCTTCTAATAGGATCATAAGATCAAAACTATATTATCTAGTTGTTGCAGCAATTTATTTTTCATTCAATAAACATTTGAATGCATAATATGTTCTAGGTACTAAAACATGGCAGTGAGCAGAATGTACTTCCTGGAATTACCGTGACTTAGTTTGAGAACTGTGAGCTGAGAAGCTGTAATTCACTGTATGCCACTCCTTTCTAGAAAAGTCTTCATGATAGATTCAAATTTCTCTTTTTAAAAAGTTTAGCTAGTGGTTTTCAAAGAGATTAAAAGTACTCTGAGCCACTATAAAGTGATTTTTGTCCTAGTTTCACCCAGCTTCCCTATTTTGTGTATAGCTTTAAAATTTTTTTACTTTGAAATATTAATGTTATTTTTCTGTTCTCATTTTTGACAGGTTTCTAAGCATGAATTGTGGAACAGATGAAGCAGAGCAGATGATCGGAGCAGCATTTGTTTCTCCCCAAATCTAGAAATTTTAGTTCATATGTACACTAGCCAGTGGTTGTGGACAACCATTTACTTGGTGTAAAGAACTTAATTTCATTATAAACTGGCTCTGGGCAGCACTGGTGATGCTGTATCCTGAGTTGTAGCCGCTGTAATTGTGAATATTAACTGAGGTAGTGAAACATGGTGTCCGGTTTTCTATTGCATTTTTTCAAGTGGAAAAGTTAACTAAATGGTTGACACACAAAAATTGGTGGAGAAATTGTGCATATGCCAATTTTTTGTTAAGATCCTTTACTTTGAACTATACTGCTTTGAAATCTCATTTCAGAAGAATGGCATGAACAGTCTTCAGCCGCAGTTGTGATGATTGTAAATTCTCACAATTGTGCATTCTTAGGGTTTTTTCCACCCCTGGGGTTTGCAAGTTGTTCACTTAAAACATTCTTAAAATGGTTGGCTTCTTGTTTGCAAGCCAGCTGATATGGTAGCAACCAAAGATTCCAGTGTTTGAGCGTACGAAAGACTCTGCCTGCTTACCTGTGCTAGAAATAACAGCATCTAAAGTGAAGACTTAAGAAAAACTTAGTGACTACTAGATAATCCTTAGGACTCTGCATTAACTCTATAATGTTCTTGGTATTAAAAAAAAAAGCATATTTGTCACAGAAATTTAGTTAACATCTTACAACTGAACATGTATGTATGTTGCTTAGATAAATGTAATCACTGTAAACATCTATACAATCTGGGATTTTGTTTTTATTTTGAAATGGGAGCTTTTTTTTTTTGTTTACAAGTTCATTAAAAACTAAAAACTGTTTCTGTAAGGAAATGAGATTTTTTTTAAACAACAAAATGCCTTGCTGACTCACTATGAAATAAAAATCTCCCCAGTTTTTTGATAGACTACTTCAAGCCATTTGTTACATGATATTCCTTGAAAAGTTAATTTAGATTTAATGTATGACTTCCTCAGATTTTTTTTTTTTTTTAATTTTTAAAATGTCTGGTTTTTTTCCTCCCCTGAAGGGAAAAGGCATTCTTTCCTTTTTTTTCTTTTTTAATGACTTGCAGGCACAATACCTGGTACTGCAACTGCCAGAACCTGGTACTGTAACTCCTGCTGCAGCTGACTAACAGCTGGACTGATTTTGAATAAGAATGAAAGCATTAAAGGGTTTGACTACAAGATGTTTTTTCTTTAAAATACTTGTGAAGTGGCTCTAAGCAGTTGACTCTTACCCTTGGAGAGCTTCACACTGTGTGAGGTCCAAGTGAGTGCTGACCCTCCTCGCCAGCCTGAGCCCCCCACCCGCTTCTCTCTGTTATCATCTGTGTGCGCTTCCCTCAGTCTTACTTGCGCGCTCTTTTCTCTGAATCAAGAGAAAGGAAAATGTATTGATGATAATTCTTTGAACAGTGTAATTTATTCATTTATAGCACATCAGGATAAATTAAAAGAACTTTTGTCTGAAAATGCTGCCGGGAGCCTATTCTGTAAATGTAGGTATTTTGTAAAATCTGGAAACTGTAAATTGACATGTGTTTGGTCAGATTGTGTCAGGCTTAAATTTTTTTTATTTTATTTTTTCATTCAAAACTGTTTTAGCAATAATTAATTCCATGGTTACCACATTCTGCCGTTAAGGGAAATGTTAGTACGGACCTTAATGCTGAAGAAATCTTAATAAGTCTGAATTTTGGGGGTAGGCAGCTTCTTTGTTTCTTTTCTAACCATCCTTGTCAGTTAAGGTGTTTGTTTCTTGACTAATAAACCCTTTGATACTTTTAGCCAGAAATCAGTCTCATAAAGCTATTTTTGAGTATAGTTTGTGTAAAATAAATTTGTTTAGCTTTGGTAACTTTTCCAAGCTGAACTCCCTCTAGCAAGATATTTTTCAGTGCTTTCATTTACTATGCACTTAGACTATGCACTTTTTCTGAGATATTTTTGTAACACTTTTTTGTATTTTTGCCATTTGAAAAGGTTGTGGTGTAGTTGGTCTGTAATTAAGTTGCAGATTTAAAACTGCTGTTAGCTTTGTAAATCAAAATATAGGTATCTCTTTGTCCTGGTATATTGTCATTCCATCTGCAGCTGGAGCTGGAATCCCATTGATCTTCTAGCTACCATTCATTTTCTTCACAGTTCACAAAAGAAGAATGTGAAATTCAGTGAATGCTGTTACTAATCCTGTCGGGAAATGAATCTCATTTCACCAAAATTAAGTTATGTTTTTCCACTAAAATGATGATACAAGTTGAAGACACATCATTCTGAAATTGGAAGACCTCACCACTTAAGGCTCCACAGTGGCTTACTCAGCTGAACTCTAGGTTACTACTTTACTTTGTTCACCCAATGGGGGGTGCAGTTTTTTTAAATGTTGGGAGATGGCCATTCTAACTACTGTTGAATGTCTCTGTTTTGGGAAGGTATAACAAGAAAATAAAAAAGAATATATATGAAGGGAGAGACTGGTTATCTCCTCCCATATGGTTGTGCTTATGCTCGTATAGCCTATAAATGGATATTTGGAGGTTTGCTTTTCCTATTTTTAAGAGATTTTCATATTTCTGATAGTCCTTGCATTGCCAGTAATTGTAAATGCTAAATGTTTCAAGCAGATAATACTATAATAATAGAAAGCTTAGATCTGTTATACTAAAAACATGAAACACAAGGACTTTAGAACCCAAGCCAATGAGCTCATGTTCCCTCAAATTTGCTGAAATACCAAGAACAGTTTGTTGTAAGTCATTACTAGAATGAGCCAAGGATAATCTGAGATGGACTGGCCTACTCACCAGAACTGTGTGGTTTTCTAATGTGGGTGGCAGGTGCCCATGCAATTGAGCCAGCACCTGTAGTCTCCCAGGGTACACGTTAGCAGGAAGCTTGGGTCAGAGGCTGAGCTGGGACTCAAACCCAGGCATTCCTATATAAGATGTGGGTGTGCCAAGTGGCATTTTAACTGCTATGCCAAATGCATGTCATTTGAAAAATAACACTTTCAAAACATCAAAAGATGGCAGAATGCTAGCTATAGATTGATCTAATCTGGTGACAGTCTGTTTGAACCATACATTGGAGTAAAATGATGACTTTGCTGAAATGTCTGGTTAGACTGGTTTTTAGGACATACTTAGAAGTAATGAGACTGCTGAGCAACAGTGTAGCTGTAAAAGTAACTCACCTAGAATCTATGACTACTAATGGGTCTTAGAGGAATGTCTGGGCTGTGACAGGGCAATACAGGAACCAGGAACATCTTCTTGTCCCAGGATGGAAGTCTCAAAAAATGGTAGGTACATGTCAGAAACACAAGATCCTCACAACAGTCAAACAGCTATGGTTACTCCTGTCACATACAAGCTATGTATTAAGAAAAACAAACAAACTGGAACTACCCTATAGGAGGCATCTTGGTAAATTTTGCAGAACCAGGACCTAAACCTGATGGCCTTAAGCTGTTACATGGTTAAAGCATTGGTGCTTTAAACCCAGAGATTGGTAATACCAGCTATCATTGAGTACCTTACATACGTTGATTTGCCTAGTCCTCAGATTGTCATGTTTTTTATGAGGATACCATAGAACAAGGGCCAGGTTGTATCCCCTTAGATTAGGGGTTTTTGTTTTTCTTTAAGTTTTGTTTATTTGAAAGGCAGAGTTAAGAGAGGGCTGCTGTCCACTTTGTTCCCCAGATGACCTCAGTGGTCAAAGCTGGACCAGGCTGAAGCCAGGAGCAAATCTGGGTCTCCCATGTGCATGCAGTAGCCCAAGTACTTGGGCTGTCTTCCACTGCTTGCCCAGGCACATGAGCAGAGTGCTGGATCAGTAGGGCAGCTGGAATTCAACTGGCAATCAAGTGGGATGTCAGCATTACAGAAGCCGTTTAACTTGCTGCACTGTAACGCCAACCCCAGTTCCCTTCGATTTTCTTTTTGAGAGGTGGACTTAGAAAAGTCTTCTATCCACTGCTTCATTCCCCAGGTGGCCCAAACAGCCTGATCAGAAACTTCTTCTAGGTCTCCTGTGAGAGTGCAGGGGCCCAAGCGCTTAGGCCATCTTCTGCTTTCTCAGGCCATATCAGAGCTGGGTCACGAACCAGTGCCCATGTGGGATGCTGGTGCTGCGGGCAAGGGCTTGGCCTACAATGCCACAGCACTGGCCCCTAGATTTTTAAATAGGATCTTGGCTCACCTTATGTTTAGACAATTCATATTAGCTATGTATCCTGTATCAAATGTAAGTGTACCTGCTTATCAAATAGAGGGTCTGCCCTGGTGAAGGTAAAGGCCATTTAAAAAGTGATCTGTAGCCTCCCTGTACCCACACCCTGAAAGTAAAGTGAATGTGAAGAGGCGTAAGTCTAAAATTTTCAGGCAACTTGGTTTACAACATTTTACAGTTTGATATGTACCTGATGAGAGTATAGGTTTTCCTAATGTTTAGTTTGCTTGTGAAATTTAGCTATTTATTTAGTAAGTGATATGAACTGGCTTAAATGGAGTAAGTGTGCTTTTTTTAATTGCTTAGAAATATGTTAATCCATAGATTGTGAGTTTTCTTTTTGGTATTAGGTTTATGTGAAAGTTTGGGAGATATTTCAATAGTGATTTTCTAATCTAGTCATGAATTACCGTATTCACTTAATGACAGCTGAGTCTGATGCGCAGAGGGATGCTATGTGATACAGTTGGGGATTAAGGAGAGAGATTATGAGTGACAGTACAAGGTGGGGGCTTTAGGAGTCAAAGGAGAGTGACAGTATATTTTGTGTTGACGGTGAAGGTAATTGTGTATGGTAAGGTTGTGCTGGTCCTTTGGCTGTCAGCAAGCTTGCCAGTCCTTAAACTCCCTTTGCCTGTCATGCATCCTTTTAAAAAAAAAAAAGTACTCACCCATAAAAGATGTCGGGGTCCAGAGGAGAGGGGAACAAGGCAGGCTTTTTCATTTGCCCAATAAACTGGTCATTTCTGTGGCTTAATAATAAACCCATATTTAGAACCAAATTCTAGAGATCATTTTCTTCAACCTCTTAGTGATCAGTTGATGAAACCCAAAACCTTCAGTTTTCCAATCAAGACTAGAATGCAGGCCAGCTAGTATTTTCCATACTTTAATTCTTGGTGGTGTCATTAAGCCAGGGTAATTTCTCTATATATTGCATTTATCAGTCACCTTTTACCTTGTTGTGACCAATATGTCTTGTGTTGGTAAGCAAAAAGTAAAATGTCAGTTTAGGTAAGCAAAAAGTAAAATGTCAGTTTAGATGCTGAACAGTGTGAAAAATTTTAAAATCAGAGGTTTTTTTTTAATCTTAAAATCATTGACAAAATCAATTAGTATTGTGTAGATAAGATACACTTTTTTTTGGAAAGGGAGAGTGAGAGGAGAAGTATCCACTGGTGTCACTTCCCAAATGGCTTCAACAGCAAGGGCTGGGCCAGGCAGAAGCCAGGAACTCAGAACTCCATCCAGGTCTCCCACCTAAGTGGCTCTTCCACTGCTTTCTCAGACACTTCAGTGGGGACTGCGCTTTGATAGGGGTGATGGAACCTATCCATTTCTAGTGATCAGGAGTGGGATGCATTCTGTTACATAAAGCCATATTTGGTCAAATTGTGAGTAGTGGTCGTTTTAAATATGCTCTTAATGCATGTCCCTGTACCCGGGTTTAAATGAATGGTTCTAATATAGCAGTGTACTCACTGAAAGGGTTTTCTTAGCAGTGGAGCTACAACCTGTCATTTATGGAGTAGAATGTGTTGGCTAGGAAGATGAAGCTTTTTGTCAGCATTACCATATTAAGTGCAATGTTACTGATTGAGAGAAGGAAAATAGTGTGAATAACTGTTGGAAACAACTGTGGATTTCAGGCAGCCAGCCATTGGTTCTGTGTGCCAGTGGACAGTGGCACAAATGTTGGTGATAAAGTGCTGTGTTGATAAGCTCTTAACAGTTGCTAAGTAAATATTTTTTGTTAATTGCAAAACTGGTTTGCACTCTTAACATGTGACTCCATTAAGAATGTAATGTTTTAGTGATGTAGACAGTGAGCTAAAATACACCTCTAGGTTTGTGTGTGTGTGTGCATGCCTGCACGTACACACACGCATACCATCACTAGAAAAGCGAAAGCAAGTCCTTCGGACAGGTTTCATTATCAGTGGCCACCCTGCCCCCCTGTGAAATGGTGAAGAACATGTAAGCGATTGCTTGATCTTGAATGTTGTGTGATGGTAATGCTACACAACAGTAACAGGGATTTATGGAGTATATTAGAAAGTAGGGATAGTGGAACAAATGAAGACCAGAGAAAGTAATTTCCATCTGGAAAAATTAATGAAGACTGTCCTCACCTTGAACAAACTACTCTTGGAGTGATGGGAGCAAAACGCTCACATGAGTAATTTTAGCCAGTAATTTCAGCCATTGCTTTAGCAAAGCAAACAATGTCATGGGGGAAAGTGCTAGAGGTTCATGTGTGTTAGAGAATGAGTTTGCCTCAGTCACAGGTAATAGGAAAAATTTGACCAAAAGCTGAAATAAAAGAGTAACTTAAAAAAGAAGAGTGAAAGTCTCATCCAGTGTTGTCCCTACCTAATGATGTAGTTTTATTGGTCTTCAGATACTGGCATTACTGTTGTGGAGATTAGGGAATGAAAAAGATTATAGGGGGCTGGCGCCGTGGCTCACTTGGTTAATCCTCTGCCTACAGCGCCGGCATCCCATATGGGCACCAGGTTCTAGTCCCAGTTGCTCCTCTTCCAGTCCAGCTCTGCTCTGGCCACGGAGGGCAAGGGAAGATGGCCCAAGTGCTTGGGCCCCTGTACCCGCATGGGAGACCAGGAGGAAGCACCTGGCTCCTGGCTTCGGATAGGCACAGTGCTGGCTGTAGCGGTCACTTGGGGGCATTATTCAGGGCAATTCTCTGATCACTAGTAGGGACTCACTTCATCCCCCAGCCCCAAGACCAACCCTTTTAAATGTTTGGGATTTTAGGGCTGATAAATTTGTCCGTATGGAGTAAATATATTTTAATGTTTTAAGGTGTCACTGTCTTGTCTTCCATTTCTATCCTTAGAGAGAAACATGCTATTTTTATAACTGGGTACCAGGAAGGAAAATTCCATGCATTAATATTATTTCTAGTGATTGTCAGAACCTTTTATAAAGCCACATCCAAATGTGCATTGTCACCTAGAAGGATATGAAGCCTAGTAGGAGACTTGATGCTTGCAAAATCTGCAGATACCCTACCCTTTGCTTTTTGTCTCCAGATGCTATGTATGGAGTGGTGACAGGCTGAGAGGGGTAAACAAAGTAGTGATGCATGGGAGGTAAACATATCATTGACTCTTGGAGCTCTGATCCTCCCTTGGAATATCTTGTTCAAGGTCGCAGAGTTGGTTAGTGACAGAGCTGGGAAAGAACCCAGCAGATCCCACTTCTCCACTGAACTGCTACTATAGGCACAGAGCAGTGGTGTTTTGTTTGTTTTGTTTTAGATTATTTGAAAGGACAGTGTCAGTATCAGGACAAGATAAATCATCCTCTGGGTCACTCCCCATGGGGCCCTAACAGCAAGGTCTAGACTAGGCCAAAGCCAGGAGCTGAGTTCCATTGGAGTCTCCCTGTGAGTGACAGGGACCCAAGCACTACAGCCATCCTCCACTCCTGTCACAGGCACATGAGCAGGAACCTGGACCAGCACTCCAGTATGGGATACCAGTGTTCTAAGTGGCATTTTAACCCACAGCACCATACTGCCAGTCCCAGTGACTCTGAATTCGACTCCAGGATCTGCAACTTCTGGAAATTTGTTAGTTCAAATTCTAGTGTCTGCTCCAAACCTACCCCTGGGAGCTCGACAGATGGAGTGCAGCACCTCTGTTTCAAACCCCACCACCACCACCACCCCCAGCATTGTAGCTGATCCTGATCCACGATGAAGTTTGAGAACCACTGACAAGGATGAAACGAAGTAGGCAGCAGAAGGAACTGAGGAAGGACCTGAAGCATGACCTGTGATTCATTTAACTTTCCTTATCTATGGAAGAAATGATCACAAATTCTCCCTGCTGGTGGCTGTGCGGGTGGAATGAAGTCAAGCAGTGTCTTGGTTCACAGAAGCTCTGCCCCCTCTATTTCATGAAATGTTGGTAGCTGGAAATTAGCTGAGGTGAGAACTTGGAAAACTCAAGTCCAGGCCTTCTAACCATAGCTGGTTCACCAGCATGCCACTGATTGCACCATGCAGTGCATCTACTTTGGTTTTTCCTTACTTTGTAGCTACCAGGATCTGAGCTAAAATTACTTAAACATTTGATCCTAGAATTCCCATTACTTGTGACTTATTTTGTTATTGTTATTTGAAATAATTAGGGAGTGAGAACCTCTATCCCCTTGTTCACTCCTCAAATAGCCACAACAACCAAACCTGGACCAGAGGAAACCAAGAGTTTCTTCCAGGTGTCCCACATGAGTGCAGGGGCCCAAGAACATTGGCCATCCTCCACTGCTTTCTCAGGTGCGTTAGCAGGGAGCTGGATCAGAAGTGGAGCAGCCAGGACTCAAATTGGTACCCATATGGGTTGCGTGCATCGCCGGTGGTGGCTTTATCCACTATGCCACAACACCAGCCCCTGCTTGTAATTTCTAATGAGCATATTAGATTAGGGGAGGATTGTTGAGTTAAACATTTTATATATATATATATATTTCATAGGCAGAGAGTTGTAGAGAGGCAGAGAGAGCGGTCCTCCATCTGCTGGTTCACTCCCCAAATGGCTGCAGTGGCTGGAGATGGGCCGATCCAAAGGTAGGAGCCAGGAGCTGCTTCTGGGTCTCCCACGTGAGTGCAGGGACCCAAGGACTTGGGCCATCCTCTACTGCCTTTCTAGGCCACAGCAGAGAGCTGCATCGGAGGAGAAGCAGCTGGGACTTGAAACGGTGCCCATAAGGGATGTAGGTATGCTACTGTAGGTAGCAGCTTTACCTGCTTCGCCACAGCAGCAGCCCTGTGAGTTCTACCTATAACAGAAACTCACTTTCCATCAAAATCACATGTGCGTGAGTCCTGTGAAGCCCCATGTTCCAAATAACTTGGAGGTGTGGGGTTGACTTTACAGAGGTGTTGGTGGAGACTTGGAGACTCAAGAATGGAGAGTCTTAACAAAGGAGCGCCAACCAGGAAGTCAGCAGAAGTCAGGGAAGCTGTGTGTTAGTAAACATTGCACAATACATTTCTGTCTAATGTGAGCTAAGCAGCCCATCCTGCTTCCCGTCTTAAAACTACTGGGGGCCAGCACTGTCATAGTGGTTAAAGCTGCTGCCTGCAGTGCCGGCATCCCATATGGGCGCCGGTTCAAGTCCAGGCTGCTCCACTTCCAATCCGGATCTCTGCTGTGGCCTGGGAAAGAAGTAGAAGATGGCCCAAGTCCTCAGGCCCCTGCACCCACATAGGAGACCCGGAGGAAGCTCCTGGCTCTTCTGATCGGTGCAGCTGCAGCCATTGCAGCCAATTGGGGAGTGAACCAGCAGATGGAAGACCTCTTTCCATTTCTCTGCCTCTCTGAAACTCTGCCTTTCAAATAAATAAATCTTAAAAAAAAAAAAAAAAGGCAACTGGAACTGAATGCCTCCCAGTATAATGCAGCCAGGAAAAGATGATGGAGTCATACTGGCGATGAAGGGCCCTGTCTCAGGAAAGTATAGATCTTTAGTTCTCAGATGTGCTTGCATGGACGATTGTAGACAAAGGTGGATGTGTCTGAGAAGCACACTCTGGGTGTTTATACCTCAAGTATCCAGGCCAGGTCTTCCAGGAAGGCAGCCTGGGGCTGCTAAACTCAGATAGCTCTCACACTGGCTGCTTGCCTCCCTTTCGGGGCTTGTCACTTAGGAAATCAAGCCACGCAGTCCCCTGTTGCTAGGAAATGTACAAACACAGCAGGGAACAGTCCGCCAAGGGTTTAGCGTTGCAGCTTTCCCATAAGTGACCAACAGCTGTTTGACCTTTGGGGGGTTTTATGACTGTGTTGGCATAGAAATAGAAGAAAAGTATGTATTTCATCTTCTTTGATAGTTGCTTTGGGATATTTGGGGGAGGGGGAGGGTAGAAGCCATTATCTCTTTTTTTCCTCGTGTTCATACAGGCAAACACCAAAAAGTGACCAGTGAAATCACTGTTGAGAATGTACACCAGGACAGCATTCGCTTTCTTGCAGCAGGATTACACGGTGGTTCACTGGATTTGTGGTCAGTTGAAGCCCTGAAGTAGCTCATCCTTGAGATTTGTTGCTGTACCACATCAATCTTGGACCTGTGAAAAAAAAAAAAAAAAAAAGTGGTTTTACTTACTTGCTGATTTTAGATTCAAAGATCTGTCCCAAATGGAATCAGCAAAAGTCCCTCATTCAGCTCTTCAAACAAGACTGCAGCCCTCTCTCCCTTACTATAAAGGAAATCTTGTCAGTGCCAGATCCGGGGCTTTTGTGTATGTGTGCATTTTTTTTTTTTAAGATTTATTTATTTGAAAAGCAGAATTAGATCTTCCATCTGCTGTTTCACTCCCCAGTAGCTCTGAAGGCCGGAACTGGGCTGGGCCAAAACCAGGAGCTTCCTCTGGTACTCCCTTGTGGGTGCAAGGGCCCAAGCTGTTGGGCCATCTTCCATTGCTTTCCCAGGTCATTAGGAAGGAGCTGGACCAGAAGGGCATGCCAGCCCCTTATTTCATTTTTAAAATATGTTTGTCTTTCTCAAACCCATGCTGGCCCTTCAAGCAGGCTTTAAAACTGAAGTTCTTTGTCAATGCTTCCCTGTTGCTTAAGGCCTTGGGTGGAAGATGACTGGGAAAGTTGTTGGTCTGGCATAACTGACTAGACTCTAAAGGAGCTTGTTACTTTGTTTATGTTGTGTGCCCTAGTGATTTGCCACATGACTTTCTCCTCGGGCTCTTGGGCAGCCACAGTGCCCAGAGCTGTGCAATGGTTGGTTCTGTATCAAGCTGGCTCTCTGTATTTATAAATGAACCTGATCTTGCCTCTCTAGATCTGCTCTTCCTTCTCTACTTTCTCTCTCTGTCTCTTTATTTATTTATTTATTTTTTAAGATTTATCTACTTATTTGAAAGTCAGAATTACACAGAGAGAGAAAAAGCAGAGAGAGAGAGGTCTTCCATCCGATGGTTCACTTCCCAATTGGCTGCAACGGCTGAGCTATGCCAATCTGAAGCCAGGAGCCAGGAGCTTCTTCCGGGTCTCCCAAGCAAGTGTACGGGCCCAAGGACTTGGGCCATCTTGTACTGCTTTCCCAAGCCATAGCAGAGAGCTGGATCGAAAGTGGAGCAGCCAGGGCTCAAACAGGTCCCCATAAGGGATGCCAGTGCTTCAGGCCAAGGCATTAACCCGATACACCACAGCACTGGCCCCTCTATTTTTCTCTAGATGCATGCCCAAGAACACCAGGAAGCATCCTTGACTCGTAGCAACTCCATCTTCCTCACTGTTTCCTTTATTTGGACTTTATCCTCTCCTGCCTAAAGTCTTGAAGTGGTCTCATTTCCAGGTTCCACTGCCCGTGTCACCATCTTAAATGTGCTCTCCCCTTTTGATTTCAGAATACTGATCAGATTCCATGATCTGCCCTCTGCCTTCCAGCCTCTCCAGCCTCATCTCTTGGCTTCTATCCCAACACCCTACACCAAGTGAGCAAGGGTGTATTCATTTCCATTCCAGGCTCTTGCCTCACACCTAGAAAGGCATCCCGAGTACAGACTTGTGTAAGTGCACAGTGTTAAAATTTATTCAAAAGTGAGAAAGTGAACACACACACTCCCGAGCATGCATTGCCCCATGAGGAGAAACACCCATCATGAGTGGGCAGTGGGCCTGCAGATTGCCTGGACGGAGGAGGTGGGGAGGGAGGGGAGACAGGATGCCTCCTCTCCAGGTGTAGTCTAGGAGAAAGAAAGTCCCTCCCCCCGTGTTGGCCCCTTTGATTTTTTAAAATTTTATTTATTTGAAAGCGTTTCCAAGAAAGAGATCTTCCATCCGCTAGTACATCCCCTAGATAGCCACAACAGCCAGCACTGGGCCAGGCTGAAGCCAGGAGATTCTTCCGGGTCTCCCACATGGGTGCAGGGGCCCAAACACTTGGGCTGTCTTCCACTGCTTTTCCCAGGCCATTAGCAGGGAGCTGGATCAGAAGTGGAGGAGCATCCAGGACACGAACCAGCTCTGCCACTCCACCAGCCCCTGTTGGCCCTTCCTATGAAGTAGGGAGTAGTGTGTCTACAAGTATGAAGCCGTCTGGGAATTATATGGCAACTCCACAAATTACATGTAGAGCTCAATATCCAGATTTTTGGGCCAGCATTGTGGAACAGTGGGTTAAGCCACTGCCTGCATTGCCAGCATCCATATGGGTACTGGTTCTGATCCAGCTCCCTGCTAATGTACCTGGGAAAGAGCAGAAGATGGCCCAAGTACTTGGGCCCCTGCACCCATGTGGGAGACCTGGATGGAGTTCATTGGTGGCCATTTTGGGGGGAGTGAAGCCCAACTGGAAGATTCTCTGTCTCTCCCCCTATCTGTGTAACTCTACCTTTCAAATAAATCTTTCAAATGTATCACCATATTTTTATGGTGTCCCTACTAGGTGCCAGATGAAACATTTGCACCCCAGGAAATGAAGCATTTTGATTGAAAAACAGGACTTTCAGTGACTTCCAGCTCAGCAGCCCTAACCTAGCCACCTGCCTATCCCTCATCAGAGTTGCACTCACAATCCCCAGGACTCAGTGTATCACCTGTGCTAGAAATACCTTCCACTGTTTTCTCCAGTCTGCCTTGTTCAAAACCCATTCCAAACCCTAGGAAGCTTCCCTACACCCACTAAGAAAGCTGCAGTTGTATTTCTGAGACTACCCAGACACTATTTCTCCCTGACCAGATGGAGCTCCCCACGGCTAGAATTCATTCTGCCTGTACTCCCAGTGTTTGAGGAGTGGCTCAGAGTAGTAAGCCGATGCTCACTGAAGGTTTCTTTAGTGATGGACTCAGACACAGCCCCAGCTCTAGGATGAGATGACTTCTAACCAGCAGGGAACCCTCAAAGCCATGGTTCAGAAGGCCTCAAACTGAACATGTTTCTCCAGGAGTATGGGTGGGAATAGGGCAGAGAGCACAGATTTTGATATTAGAAAATAGCAGAGTCAAAGTATTATGTCTGGGAGGGACACCCAAGATCACAAACCTTTAGGACAAGACCGTCTGTTTGGTGTAGCAGTTGAGATACCTGTTGGGACACCCACAGTCCACATCACAGTGCCTGGAGTGAGTTTCGACTCTCCTCTGGACTCCAGCTCCCTGCTAATGTACACCCTGGGAGGTAGCAGGTGATGGTGTAAGTAGTTGGGTCCTTGCCACCCATGTGCGAGACCTGGCTTTGCCCTGGGCCACCCCTGGCTTGGTGAGCATTTGGGGAGTGAACCAGAAGATAGGAGATGGATCTCCTCCCACAAACACCCCTTTCTGTCTCTGTCTCTCTCTGCTCTGCCTTTCCAAAGCAGTAAGTGAAAAATGAATGTCTATCTTTAATCATATCTCAAGAGGGATCAATGGAAGACAGGCATGGCGTGGCCTCCTGTCCTGTCAAGTGGAATGTCTTGGGCTAGGAGCACTTAGTGATGGCCTGGAGCCCATGCCCTCCGAGGCGGTTTGGCTTCTCATCATCTTTTGAATAACACGAACCAATTTCTTCAGACATTCACATCGATCGCTCTTTTTCTATCCTTGAACTCCTGTTTCTATGTCACTTTTCCCACAGGGTTGAATTGCACATGCAATGCATTTTCCTGCCTTACTGTCTTCTCATGATCACCACCTTGTATTTCTTTGTAACACAAATATGCACGTAAATTCCAATTTCAGCTTTTAATTTCTTACGACCATAAATCTTGAAAATGTTAGGTCTTTTGACTGGAGCTGCCATTACAGTTATTGAACCTAATGGATCAAAGCCTCATAATACATTTCCAAATTTGATAACAAATTGAGTATGGGATTAAATTGTATTTATTGAGATGTGTTTAAAACACATTCATCTATACATTGGAAATGTTATGTATTCCTAGATTAGGACATGTCCCCATCATCACTCTCCCTATGTTTCATTTCAATCCCTGTAGTAGATTAGAAGTCTCACATATTCACATAATTAAATGGCACTGCAAGGAGTTTTGTTATTGCAGTGTCACTCAATTCTTTGGACTCTTTCCAGGATGTGTGCCAAAAATCACTTGGACATCTTTTATTGAAAATCAGTGAAGAACTTTCTCAGGTCCTCTCTCAGTGTACCATGGCAACCTCTTTTCTTAAAAGCTGTTCCCCCAAAGGAGCTTCTAGAACTAGGTAGAGCTGGTTTACAGTGTGCCCACTGGCTGGGGGCTGGGCGAGTAGAGGCTTCCTAGGCTGGGTACCCCAGGTCCTAGGGTCCTAAGCAAAAAGCCACAATCGTGTTCTTCCAGTTCTCCCCAGTTCACCCCCTCTCTGATTCTGAATCTCTGAGTCTGAAACTCCTTTGAGAGAAAATCAGGATCATGTTCCCTCTCTCACTCTA